GGGCAGAGTTATTTAACAAGATCTAAAAACATACACAAAACCAAAAATAAAAAAAAAGAAGGGATTTTAATTTGTTGTGAAAGGAGACAAGTTCTCACTTCTCAATGGTTATAGATGTGGTCCACCACCATATTTTATGACTGCATTAATGGAAGTTTTTCAGGCAAAACACTTGACGCAACAATTACAAAATTAAGAACATCAATAAGTAAATCACAGTATCAAAGGCCACACATTTTTTTTTTTTTTTTTTTTTTTCTGCAGCTTTATATCGATTGAATAATAGGAATGCAGGAAATAAAAGATAAAAAAAGCAGTGCCTATGTTTACCTTTCGAGTACTGTCTTTGATTCATGGTCTAGTCTTCATGTTCATCTCCTCTATACCATTTACAGTCGCCAACATTGAGAATAAGATCTGTGGATCATCTTCCTTGAAAATAACCCCAAAAAAATCACTTGGCACAAGACCTTGGTAATTATAAAATATTATTGCTTAGAAAATAACCCTCACATTATTGCTTTTTCCTTATAAAAACATCATATTCAGAATTTAAAGAATGTGTTTAATGTTTTTATCAATTTAATTATAGTTCCTAGACATGTCATTCAATTAGCACACGTGTCCATTCATGGTGGTTTCACTCTCAAGTCTCAACTTAAAAAAATACATATAAATAATAAATAATAAATATAAAATATATATTGATGATTTGGGTATTATATATATACACACACATATATTAGTTCATTTGGGTATTATAATTAACTTGGTCTAAATTAACTAGTCTAAACATATCTTGATGATATCAGAATATATTTAAAAAGTATTAAAAGTTGTAAGGAAATCGTATTTCAGATTTAATATCAGTATGATCATGACAAAAAAGAGTAATGCTACCTATCTCAAAAACATTAAGTTGAACAAATATCAAATGTTCGAATATATTTATCAATCTAGAAAGTACCATTAATATTGGATTCAACGACCCATCACAACCTCTTAATTAAACAAATGACATTATAAATTTACATTAAACCCATATTGAGAATACTGAATTAGCGTCTTAAAATTAAAATTAGAAAAAATTGAGAGATGGTAAATGCATGACATTTTAAATCAAACACACTCGTTGGTTTTTTTCTTTTTTTAAATATAAATGACAAACATACTCCAAATACTTGATCAAATTTTACTATTATTGTTTTTTTCATGACAAAAGTGTTAAGAGTTAGTGATTAGCGGTCAGTGGTGGTTAGTGGGGAGGACTGAGGAATGCGAAGGCTCAAAACCGAACTCCCAAAGATACAAAACACAACCTTATCTTTTAGAATATGAAATTACCTTTCAATTATTATTCAAAATATATTATAACAAAACACTTATTTTATTTTATTTCGACCGAAACAAAAACGCTTAATTATTTGTAGAAGTCAATCACTGGATTCGGAGAATAATGGACCCGGGCCATCTATTGACAATGGACATTCGATATAAATGGAGGTCACATGGTGGTGGGTTGGTTCTTTTATTAGGTGGTATTAGCCCAACCAACATTGTTTTGCAGAGTTTGAAAAATAAGTAGCCTTTTGGGTCAACTCGGCCCATTTGGATGTTTTACGCCTACAAAAGTAGCACTCCGGAGTCCGGAGTCCAGACAGGAAAAGTTTTGGAACAAATCAATAGTGCAGATGAAATTGGAGATGAAGCAATTTTAATTATGCTAGGATTCTAATTTGATTGACCGAGAGATTTATCACATGTTAATGTAAACAAGGAGAGAATTGTATTATACTTGTTTGATATTATGTGACATAATTCCCACATCGAAAAAGTGGAAGAAGCGGATGAGAAACTTGTAACTATAAAAACAATGCATACACACATTAAAAAATACATCATTGCGCTTGGGGCAATGACGCAGCTCATGAGGTTCTAACCGAAGCGTGTCAATTGCTGGTTGAAAACTATTTCCCTTTTTATTGATCTCTTTGGCTTGGGTTCCACCTGACCATTGAGAATTTTTGGAAGGGCTCCCTTCTTGGGTAAAGCCCTACAATTCTAAGTTCCGAACTTTTGTTTTACACCCACAACCTAGGAACTTCTGTGGGCAAAATAGGATTTTGAATTTATTCAAGTATATGATTATTATGACCTAGAGGTGTCAATTCGTGTTTGTGAGTCCGTTTATTAAACGGGTAAGAAAAATCACAAGGCATAAACAAGGTTTATGTTTAAATTACGTAACATATAACGATTATAATATGTTAAGTTAAACGAGTTATTAATGGGTTACACGAATTAAACCCCGGCCTTTAATTCTAACCTCGACATGGTTAAGTAAACGGATTAATCGTGTCAATCCGTTTATGATCCGAATCCGTTCAAAGTCAACCAAAACCTATCTATATCAAATCGTGTTAACGGGTCGTGTCGTAATTTGTCGCCGCTATTATAACCTTATGATTTTATAATTATTAAAAAAACGTTATCTGATAATTTAGGACATTTCTAAAAGTAATCTATTCGTATCCTTACCAAGAACCAATCATGTATCAACCATTCTATTGTTGACTGGGACCAATACTTAGGTAGTCTGAGTGGTAGTCATTTTACACTTTTGGTCCCAGGTTCTAGCGGTTGCAATGCTTGAAAGATATTCATCCAGCCACGTTCTCTCCCTCTCTCTCTCTCTCTCTATATATATATATATGTATGTATATATGTGCTAACATGGTGCCCACAACTCCAACTTTGAAGGGAAGTTTTCCAAGCTCTTACGAACGAAGTAGTAGTATACATTGAATCTAAAGCTAGCTCTGAAGCAACAATAGGAAGAAATGGGAAAGTCTTAGAATTGGTTCGGCGTCATTCGAAGAAAGCTTTTCAGGTATTCTCATCATGAAACTGTCATTGTTCTCCACGCCAATAACACCACCACCACCACCACCACCACCACGAGCTTCACAGAGGATGCAACTGCCACAGAAGATGCAGTCAATCGCGAGATAACAAAATCAGAAGCTGCTTTTTCTTCTCCCTCCAGTAGCCCGACCCCGAAGAAAGAGTTACTATCTGAAGAAGACATTGCAGCCATGAAGATCCAAGCCTCTTTTAGGGCTCATCTTGTATTTCACCATTCACCCATAACATATATATATATCTTCACATATTTCTTTCGTGCTAAAAGGGTTCAGCTTTTTAATAATAATTTTTTGCTTTCAAAATCATGACCACTATGAAATTTTGTTTGATTGCAGTTAATGGTTTACATAACTCATGAACTCTCTTAATTTATATATTCTGTGTTTGGTGTGAATGTTTGACAGGCAAGGAAAGCATTTCGAGCGCTGAAGAGTCTTGTGAAGGTGCAAGCGGTGGTTCGCGGAGCCTCCGTGAGAAAACAAGCTCGAATTGCCTTACATTGCATGCATGCGCTTGCCCAGTTGCAGGTCACCGTCAGAGCACGCCAACTCCTCGATCAGCAGATGTAGTGATAATTGATTCACAAGTAATACTAGCCACAGAGTTCTTTCATGACAAGTCATAAGCGTTCCAGTGGCGAGAGAGAGACCAAACAATTAGGTCGTTTCAGCTAAAGGGCAAAACCGGCATTTGAGCTGAATGAATCTTCAAATTGATTTAGTGAATTCATAAATATCAAAGAAAAGATGGGAGTAGGATTCTTCTTAGGACAACTTAATTAGGGTTGAAGTTTGGCGGAGATACCAACAACCTGTTTCCAATTTCTAATTAATTTTATTCTTTTCATTGTTAATATTTTATATATTTCAAATTATGATTATTTTTTACTTTATTTGTTTAAATCTTTATTTATTGTCCGTAATTTTTTAAAATTTTGCATTGACTTTATATTTTTTTAGTATGCTTAGAAGTAATGTAACTTGAAACTAACTCTAAATCATGTTAAATTGTTCTTGTGGAGATTTGGTGATACAAGCAATTCCAATTAACTCAACTTTTTAACCCAAAAATTTTAGTCCGAGGGTCAAACTCGAGTTTAAAAATTCAAAAATAGACAGATTGGGTTTGGATAGAGTAATTAGGGTTGGAGGTCGGTTTATTTCCTAACAACCTAATTTTCATTAATAATGGACAAATCGTTTCGATTATTAATTTCAAAATGCAAAAAAAAAAAAAAAAAATGCATTGAGAGTTTAACATTTCACATATCAAATTGAGCACGTACGAGTCCTACCTCTAAGTCGCCTTCTCTGGCTGTGTTGCATGGTTTATTTATTATTTCTCTAAGATATATTTGGATTTATTCCTTTGTTTCGTAACGACAAAGTTCAACTCAATAAACCGCCCTCGAATACTCTCAATAATAATAATAATAATAATAATAATAATAATAATAATAAAGAGATATTTTTTAAGTTTAAAACTTGATGATTTGGGTTTTATAATATATATATATATATATATATATATATATATATATATATATATATATATATATATACATTTGGGTATTTTAATTACCTGGTTTAAATAAACTAGTCTAAACACCTCTTGATGATTTTAGAATATATTTATTTAGGGAGAAAAAAGTATTTTAGAATATATTTACAAAGTATTAAAAGTAAGAAGGAAATTACACTTGAGACCCAATGCTAGTACGATCATCGTGGTTGATAACAAAACGAGTAATGCTACTTAACTCAAAAACTAAATTGAACAAATATCACAGAAGACTCCATAATCAATTGATACATTCATGTAAATCTCGCAAAATATTTTTGTTATTTTCTTTCTTATATTTGATTTGTTTTTATTGCCGGCAAATACATTAATGTTTAAGACCATGAAGTAATATTGGGGACCGTTTGACTTGAATTATTAGTTAACGGATCATTTGATTGAGATTTGGTTTGACCATGCTGAGTCTGCTTGTCAAATGAAGATAAGGAGAATGTAAGAAGTTGATCAGAAAATTATAACTATAAAAACACTACATACACAATATAAAAAATTACATCATTGCGCTTGGGGCAATGACGCAGCCTGTGAGGTTTTAACCGAAGCGCGTCAATTGCTGGTTGAAAACTACTTCCCTTTTTATTCATCTCTTTGGCTTGGGTTCCGGTCGGCCATTGAAAATTTTTGAAAGGGCTCCCTTCTTGGATAAAGCCCTACAATTTTAAGTTCTAAACTTTAATTCAAGCACAAACGGGCTCCCTTCTTGGTAAAGCCTTACAATTTTAAGTTCTAAACTTTAATTTAACCATAAACTTATTTAATCGGCATCTTAAATTTAAAGTAAAACAAATTTAATTTAAAATTTAAATAAAAAATTTTCCGACTATAATTATAAGACATGAATTTTAAATTAAATTTTAAACAAAATTTTTTCCAATTATAATTATAAGACATTCAATACTACCAAATATAACAACCAACGATTGTTGTTTGGCTTCAACATAACAGATAATTTGATTCTATAGTATAAAAGATGTTTATAATTACATATTCATGAATTTTTTTTTTTTTTTTTTTTTTTTTTTTGGCGGAACATATTCATGAATCAAACCATTCTATTGTTGCCTGTGGCCAATATTTAGGTAGTCTAATGGTGGTCATTATACACTTTTGGTCCCACAGGATTCAGTTGCTGGAATGCTTCAAAGAAATTCATTCTGTCACGTTCTCTCTCTCAATATATAAATATATATATATATATATATATATATATATATATGCTAACATGGTGCCCACAACTCCAACCTTTAAGGGAACTTCTCCAAGCTCTTATGAATGAAGTAGCAGTATACATTGAATCTAAAGCAAGGTCTGAAGCAACAATAGGAAGAAATGGGAAAGTCACAGAATTGGTTTGGCCTTATTCAAGTTATTCGAAGAAAGCTTTGTAAAGTTATGTGACATAAGTCCCACATCGAAAAAGGTAAGAAATTGATGAGACTGAGTGTAATTATAAAACACTACATACAGAGCATAAAACAATCACATCATTGCGCTTGGGGCAATGACGCAGCTTGTGAGGTTTTAACCGAGGCGCGTCAATTGCTAGTTGAAAACTATTTCCCTTTTTATTGATCTCTTTGACTTGGGTTCCACTCGGCCATTGAGAATTTTTGAAAGAGCTCCCTTCTTGGGTAAAGCCCTACAATTTTAATTTCTAAACTTTAATTCAAGCATAAACCTATTTAATTAAAATTTAATTAAATAAAAATTATAACAAATTTAATTTAAAATTTAAACAAAATTTTTTCCGATTATAATATAATATAATTATAAAACATTCAATACTACCAAATATAACCACTTTTTCCGATTATAATATAATATAATTATAAAACATTCAATACTACCAAATATAACCACCCAACAACCCAACGATTGTTGTTTGGCATCAACATAACAGATAATTTGATTCTATAGTCTAAAAGATGTTTATAATTACATATTCATGATTCACCATTCTATTGTTGCCTGTGGCCAATAATTACGTAGTCTAATGGTGGTCATTTTACACTTTTGGTCCCACAGGATTCAGTTGCTGGAATGCTTCAAAGAAATTCATTCTGTCACGTTCTCTCTCTCAATATATATATATATATATATATATATATATATATATATATATGTGCTAACATGGTGCCCACAACTCCAACCTTTAAGGGAACTTCTCCAAGCTCTTATGAATGAAGTAGTAGTATACATTGAATCTAAAGCAAGGTCTGAAGCAACAATAGGAAGAAATGGAAAGTCACAGAATTGGTTTGGCCTTATTCAAGTTATTCGGAGAAAGCTTTTCCGATCTCCACCTCCTCCTCATCATGAAACTGTCATAGTTCTCCACACCAACGCCACAAGCACCAGCTTCACGGACGAAGCAACCGCCACAGAAGCAGCAGTCAATAGCGAAATCACAAAACCAGAAGCTGCTTTATCTTCTCCCTCGAAGAAAAAGCTCCTATCCGAAGATGACATTGCAGCCATGAAGATCCAAGCCTTTTTTAGAGCTCATCTTGTATTTCACCCTTCACCCATCAACATTTCTTTTCATGTATCTATTTCGGGAAGGACAATGCTTGCATCCTGTGGGTGGAGGATGAACCTCCTCCGCGCTGACGTGGCCCATTGACGTGGTGACACGTGTCCAATATTAAAAATAATAATAAAAGTTGGGCAATGCCCATTTTGTCCTGGTTCGACCCATATCTTATACTTTCATCCGGCTTTCTCTTTTCTCTCTCATCACTTACCTAAATCTTCTCTCTCAGACCGCCTCAAACTCATTTTCCCTTTCCTCTCCATCGCCACTAGATCTAGATCTGACTCTCTCTCTCTCTCTAAAAATGTCAGGAAGAGGCAAGGGCGGAAAGGATTAAACCCGTTTCTTACCCTCTTCTATGTCTCCTTCTATGGCCTCCCATCTGTCTCTGCAACTCTCCCAATTTTAGTTTTCACAAAATTGATTCACTCTAAGCTCTTGTGTTAAGCTTAACTCAAAATCAAATCAAGAGATTGGGATTTTAATAAAAATTAAACTGAAACCACAATTTGTGGTAAAAACATGACAATTTCATTGAAAACCAGATAACAGAATCACAATTACAGCAATTCAGAATAGTACAAGTTTCAACCAAGCACAAACAAAAGCTCAAACAAAAGCTCTTCAAAGAATTAATGGAAAAAACTATTCTTATGTAACCAACTCTACATCACCATCTATTTAATTTAATGATTCTGTTCCTTAATTCACTTGTCTGCTGATGAATAATATCTTCTATTCTTCTCCACACTTCGCTCATCTTTGGCCTCCTCTCCGGTGCCATGTCTGTACACTCTATCACCAACTCATTTTCAATTCCACCTGAGATTTGACCTGGGATTTTCCCAGTAATGATCTCTAGAACAATAATGCCGAAACAGTACACATTGGCTTTGTGTGTCAACTTTTTCCCTAGAGAGAATTCGGGTACTTTCCCAACAACCAGCTTTTGGGAGGATCTTCACGATGGCAGGAGGGGCAAGAAACCAAAGTCTGTGAGCTTCGACTGGTAGTTTTGGTTGTCGTGTTTCATTATAAGTACATTTGAAGATTTAAGGTTGGTATGAGGTACCTTGTGTGAAGGCAAGGATTGGTGTAGAAAATTGAGACCCTTTGCTATGTCTTTGATTATAGATAGCCTTGTTACCCAATTCAATGGTACTCTTCCAACTCCTCCGTTCTCTACCAATGGGTACCCAAAATATTTGGAAGTCAATTAATTATCAAATTAATCTATCAAGAACAGAAATTAAGAAATTTATTTTTTGGATGAAATTTAACTCAAACAATAGCTACAAACATATAAGCACTTGATTATAGTGCTAAATTTGCTCTTTCGAGCTCTGTATCTGAATCACTCTGTTCACAGACCTCAAATCACTTTGAACCAGTCGAGCTTCAACCATCGCAGGCCTTCGTTGGAGATCGATGTGCCTCCGGTTAAAAAAATTGAGGTTTATAACTCTTTTACAACTTCATCCAAACGAGGTCGTTTTCACTTCCCCATTACCCCTTCCCAGAGATACCCAACAATTCTGATTAAACGCCGACCAATTGTTAATCAACCTGCGCTTGAACGATCTACGCTTCAACAACGATTCGGCAGACTTCAGTGACTGCAACAGCGACCGATCTGGCGAGTTCTCAACGGCGTCGTCTCAGGGCCGGCGACTTTTGGTCGCCTACGATATGGAGAATTCTGACGAGCTGATCAGGCAACTCGTCTCCGGCCTTGAGGCGAGCTCAATCGAGGATCAAAAGTAAGCGGCGATGGAGATCAGGCTCCTCGCCAAGAACAAGTCCGAGAACCAAATCAAGATCGCTCGCGCCGGCGCGATCAAGCCATTGATTTCGCTGATCTCGTCGTCCTTAGCTTCAAGAGTACGGCGCCACTGCAATTCTAAACCCCTCTCTGCGACGACAACGAGGAGTTGATAGAAAGAGGGAGATGAGAGTATAAGATATGGGTCGAACCGGACAAAATGGGCATTGCCCAACTTTTATTATTATTTTTAACATTGGACACGTGTCACCACGTCAATGGGCCACGTCAGCGCGGAGGATGAACCTCATCCTCCACCTGCAGGATGCAAGCATTGTCCTTTCAGGAATTAAGAACCTAATCTATGCACGGCACAAGAAGAGTGGAGGTCACTTCACATGTAGTTTGGTAGTCATAGATAGATTGGGCCCTACTCCATGTGAAATGAACTGCACTTTTCAATGTGCACAACCCATGCATGTTGTGTATAGGAGAGATTCCTAAGTTTCTAGTGACTGATATAATGATTTTACATATATGACTCGTGAGCTCTCTTTATTTATCATTCGGTATGTGAATGTTGACAGGCAAGGAAAGCAATTCGAGCTGAAGAGTCTTGTTAAGGTGCAAGCTGTGATTCGCGGAGCCTACCTGAGAAAACAAGCACGAATAGCCTTGCAATGCATGCACGCACTTGCCCGGTTGCAGGTCACCATCAGAGCTCGTTAGCTCCTCAGTAGATGTAGTGATAATTGATACTTGATTCACGAGCTATGATCTAGAAATTGATTTGAGTCTCTCTAGAGGATAGACCTCAACATAAAATTGAAGAGTAATGGCAGGTGAATTAGAAGAATTTGCATCTATATATGGTTAAATCTTTTAAAAAGTAACACCTTTATTCTGTCTATTTGTTTCTCTCTCTCTCCCAAGCATGTCCAGCCTTTGATTAAGATGCTCGTGAGATTCTCGAATAGTCATGGTGCATGCTTCAATAATTTATGTTTTCTTTGCTTCATATAACACTAGTATATATATGGTCCAAGTCGATGTAGTCAAATTATATATTTTTCAACAATTCTATGAAAGCAAGCATTTTCTTAACAAAATTTTTGGAAAACAGTCATCGATCAGAAACAGATTTACTACTACATATAAACGGTATCTTTAAAAACCAAAAAGAAATTATCAAAACAGCATTAGCAACAAAGACCAAATTTGAATACAGTGGAGCCCACAAACACGTAGTGGCTCGACCTTGTACTCTCATCATAGTCAGGCTGATTGATTTGATGACCGTGGTCTTCCTTTTTCTCTCCTTGCAAGTGTAAGTATGGTGGTCGCCGCCGTTAGAG